CCCTTGCACAGGGGACTAAGTGGGGACTAAGCTTTTTGTGGGGGGGGACTAAGGGGGACTTTGCAGGACTAGGGGGGACTAAGGGTTTTTAGTGAGACTACGTAGTATCAAGCGAGAAAAGTTTGATTCGGAAGAAATTGTTGTGGTTTTTTTGATTTTAGAATTCAGTTTGAAATAAAAAAGCCCATAGACTCGATAATACTTACTTGTGAAATATTTGATATAGAAATTCTGGAGTCAATTCACGTTCTGCCATTTAACCTTATTTTAGTCTGATCAACAATTCTTGCTCACTTTTCTCACCAGCGTACGCACGTCAATGTTTAAGAAATTAACTGTATGTCAACGTCAGGTAGGCAAAGAAAAATATGCGGAACGTAAATACATACAGAATTTTTTTCTTCACTCATTTATCAACACTATAATCAGCAAAAAGTAAAAGTAAGTTGTGTCATGTTCGACAAATAACAGAACCGCGACAGAAACTATGATACCTGTTTTCATTATGTGTGCTTTGCATGCTGTACCTGTCTATGATTTTCAAGAAAGAATCGACGACTCGCGTTGTTTTAATATTCGTTTTGTCGTCAGCCGATTTTGGCTGTGATTTAGTCTATTTGAATTCGCAATTCAACGAGAGTCTCCAAAAAAATGAGAGTTTTGTCCTCTTTCTATGGTTCTACAGCCACATGAAGTAGCTGAATCGCTGCATGATGTTAATGCAAACGTGGTAGGTGTGGGTGGATGTGAGATGTGGGTGATGAGTGTGTATTTGAGATATAAGAGTAAACTTTCATACCCGCACTCACACCCACACAGTATCAAGGACTGCAAAATATTTAGCGTGAATTAATATAATTGAAATTAATGTTTTATTAGGAAAAAATTGTTATAAAGCAATCAAATCCAATTTTGTCTAAAGTCTACAGTACTTTTATATTACAGGATAATGATGATGACATACATGCGACTAGTGATCAAAGAATGCTAGATAATAGAACAGTTGGTACATTTCAAACTGCTTATTTACTTAATAAACCACTTAACACAAATGTTACAACAGCTGATCGATTTAAGCATCATCATTCGGTTCATTCATCAGTTCAACAAAATTTTGCAACACCGGAACCACTTCAACTTTCTTCTGTAATTCTTCACTCGCTTCAACTTGAAAATGTAATTATCGATGAGATTCGCATTAGTTATATCAAAACAGTAGATTTTACTTAAAATATTAGGATAAAAACTAGAATATCTTGCTTGAGTTCTAAGGAGAAAAAAACAAAAGATTTTAATTAGAATAAAAAAAAAGGAGAAAATTCTGGATTGTCGTATAAAAATCAGCAGACTTTTCTCTTGGTTTTTACCTTGATATTTCATGAAGAACCGTCTGCTCAAGTTCCGTTTTTGATGAGAATATTTCTATCTTAAACCAAATAGATTTGACAACTTTCACTTACATTAATCTTTTTCTTCTGACTGTAAAATAGAGATGTGGGTGGGGTGTGAGTGTGGGTGTGGATGTGGGTGTGGATGGGTGTGGGGTGTAGGTGTGAATGTGGGTGGGTGTGGGTGTGGG